TCGCCATGACGGTATCCTTCGATTTTCTTACGTTGTACTGTAGTATTGTGAGTGTGTGTTGTGCGTTCATTCGCTATCGTCTGCGTGTCTGTCATCTGCGTGTTGGGGTCGAGCGCCTCGAGCGCTCTTCGCGATCGGATGATTGTGCGTCTCGGGCGCGTATTCTCTGCAGCTACAGTAATCGTCTCTTCCGTTTCCTGGGTTGCTGTCGGGTTAGGCCTCTTTTGGATCTTCTTCGTCGGGGACCTGCTCCGGCTCGGACGATTCTCCTGGGATTGGCCTGGTTCCAGCGTCGGCCGTGTGGTCCTCGGGTTCGGCCTGATCCGGGGTTCCGGTCCTAGGGCCGGGTGTGGGGCCGTCTGTTCCGGGTGGTACCTCGACCGTTGGCCGTAGGCGGCCTTGATCTTGGCCTTCTCGCGGATCCTGGTGGGGCATCCGCCGTGCCATGCCTCGTGTTCGCCGTAGCATGCGGCGCATTTCCTTGGGGTCGTCGTGTCGCTTTTCGAGGGGCAATCTCGGGTCGCGTGTTCTTGCGCGCAGTAGCCGCATGTTGTCGTTGCCTTGCACTGGGTTCCTATGTGGCCGTATGCGCAGCACTTTTAACACTGCCTCAGACGGCACTGTCTGTCATATCGTTCGCATTGGAACACCTGGCCTTGCCAGATGAGTCCCTCGTCAATGAGTTTCTTGGCGTCTTCTGCCCTTGAGAGCTCCACAACCACTGATGATGCCGTCTTTTTGCTGGCTGACTGGGTCAGCCAGCCTACGTACTTAATGTCTGCTCTGGGGATGAATGCTTTGTTATCCTGCAGCAAGTCGTCTCTGATTTCTGTGAAGCGGTCCATGTCCATGGAGCTGGTTCTGATGCCGTGCGCCAGCACCCCGTAGGTTGGGATCCTCACTGCGGCTCCGTTGCCGATGTGGTTTTACCAGTCCTCGGCAAACTGCCGGAGTGCCTCCATGTCTTTCGTCGTTGCTGTCTTGACGCTCAGGTCGCCGCTCTTGAGTTGATTGGCGGACACGGTCTTGAACTTGCGGATATGCTCGTTGCTGCTTTGTTCGATGGCGCGGTCTACGTGCGCCTTGAGGCTCCGGGGGTCCATGGCTCTTAAGCTGGCAATAGTGATAGTGTCTCTAATGTTCACAATGATCTCACGCAGAGTCTGGGTCTGAGACGCTCTCTGGTTATAGGGATTATGCATGCTCCCCGCAAGTCCTCCTCGGGCGGCTACGCTAGCATATGACTGCACGGTGTTCCCCTGATTCATCGGCTCCAGTGCTTTGATATCCTTTACGACCTTGACTGCCAGCTCGCTGGCTTTCCAAGCCTCCTTGGCGGCCGCGTTGGCTGCGCGCGTCGTGTTGATGTTTTCCTTGAGTTCGGCCGTGTTCTGCTGCATGGCAATCCTAATAATTCTCGATTCGCGGATGTTGTTCTCATTGGCTGTCTTGGTTTCCGCACGTAAGCTATCAATGGCTTGGTGGAGGTGTCCGAGTTCGGGCAGGTTCTGCATTTTGGCCAGCAGGGAGATGGTGGCAATGAGAGTGGCTCTCACGGCTTGCGGGTTAAGGGGGTGTTCGTTTGCGGTGTCGATTGACTTGAGTGCTGTCTGGAGGTGTCTGCTAAGTTGAGTGGCGTGCTCTCGATGGTGCGTTGGCCATGTTTGCTGCTGAGGCCATGGGGTTGCCATGGTGCCTGCGTCGCTATGGGCTTCACGACGAGCACACGGCTATCCAATTGACCTTTCGGAGTGTGTTGTGGCGCTGTTTTTGCTCCGATTTCAAAAATTTCGTTCTCGCTGTTGTTGATGTTTTTCAAGAGGGCATCGCTACGTAGCAATCCCTGGGCTATCCAGTCCCGTCTACCCTCACGGCTTTCAACCCCCGAGGCCTACATGGTATGCAACGCGCATGCTAGAGTTCTCTCGAAAGTCCTTCAAAGCCGTCATCGCAATCATTTCGCATTGTCCGAACTTGCATTATCAGGGACGGGAACAGGGCTCTTTCAACTTTGACGGGCGCTCAGTTTGCCCCGCTCCAAATTGATTCTGCCACTCCCAAAGCAGTTCGACCCCACTTATTATTCTGCCGTCCTCGCGGATCTGATTCCCAATTCAGCGTTTCTGCCATACCCAGTTTGATCCTGTTATCTGCATGGGTTACTGCACCTATCAGCGAGCTTCGATGAATTCTGCCGCCCCGGTTGTATTCTGCCAGCTCAGACTCTCCTCTGCCGTTCTTTCTTAGGATTCTGCCGCGTTTTTCTGCCGGCCGTCTAAATCTATCCACCTTCCCAATTCCGGATTCCGCCCCCCTGACATTGATTTTCTGCCGCTCTCAGCCGTGCTTTTCTGCCCGCCCGCCTTCCATCCGTTTGAGGAGACGTTTCTCTGTTTAGGTCGTTTGTCAAATATCCGTGATCCTTATTTCGGCCGATGCGGCCAAACGCAGGCTCTGCTCTTCTTCACAACATTGTCTCAGTGGCTCGTTGGGCTCCATTCGCGTCCCTCGTGCCAATTGACTACTATGGTATCAGGCCAAAGTAAAAACCCCTGTCAAGTATCTGTGGCGCATTTGGTCGATTATCTAAGCAGAGGTACCCCGACCTCAACACGCTGGGCTTCAGCCAGTCGAGTTGCCCAGGCCAGTGGGTCACTGCCCGCAAATACATGGCCAGGGGTTTAACTTACCCATACAACCATCGTAAGTCCCAGACGGAGCCCTCTGCTAATTCCGTCATGATGACGGCAACGGACCACATCTAGCATGGAGTCTACTTGGCCTTGGATTGTTGCCTCCACGAATCCGACATGGCAGAACGGCGGCAGAATGGTTTTGACCATATGCACGAACGAGTATTGGTAGCCGGACACAGAATCAACACCCGCCCTATAGCGACTGGGCACGGATATCAAGGCATTTCGATCAAACCTGACCATCGCTGTTTGCCGAATGGTCCCAGCTGACTGAGCATCTGTGCCAAGGCACGATGTAGCGTTTACGGTGCTTTGCTTATTGATCACTGGTGTCTCAATTCGCTCGTGTCCACTCCACCCGCATCTGCGTATGGAGTATACCGACCTTGACAAATACTTTCCCATGTACCGTGATGAGGCTTTGGCAAGAATGCATCTACCGAACGACGACGGAACCTAAAGGCATCTGAACTAGCGACTAGATACCAATAGAGCGGAGGGACGCGCTCTTCCAAGGCGCTTTGCCTGCTTCAGCCTGCTTTACCCAGCACCAAAATCCATTGGAAATGACGCTGGTGGCATACCGTACATTGGCCTCTCACTGTGCTGCAAGGTGCCGCAGGAGGCCAGCCTCACGGGCCCAATTTCAAAGCCAGATGACGCCAGCGAACTAGACAGTTTGAGTTCCGACTCTTGGCATCCAAAGCAGCAACGCCTAAATCTGGGCGGCGACCGTTCATTTCACGCTACCATCCTCAGATCTTTCACATACGGTGTCCATCCCCACCACACCTGGTTCACAACTCTAGCTGCATCGTTATCGCGCACGGTGTAGTTTTCTTCTAGCAGACCACAGTCTTTTCTGCCCATAGATCCGGGTCACCATCAGATGGGTAAGAACGAATACCCACGGAAAGGAGAGACGGGGAAATGCCACCCGGATCCCACTTCTCCCTGGCGTGACGCATGGATGTGGGAGACCGTGATAGACAGCCGGGTGATTCACTGTGTCAATCATCCTGTGGAGCCATCGGACTCCATGGTATCCAGCGCAACAGGCTACGAGCTGGTTGGTAGCTATAATTGGAAAGCTAGCCAGGATCCGAAGATTTACATACCCGGTGGGCCTCAAGTACCTGGGGACAATACTACATGACTGACTATCAGTAGGCTTTGCGGCGGTCTTGCAGGAGGTTTCCTTCCCAATTACGGTGCCTGAAGACCAGGCTACGCGCTCGATGAATGACAGCACGGCGCGTGTTCCTGAATGCTCTTTTGAGCCGCTGTTTCGCGCCACAGCATCGATGAACCCGTCATTCCGCTTTGACGAAGTCGACATCTTGGTGAATCGAAATAGTCTCAGAAAGCTTCTCGACTTCTGCCGAGGGCGGCGACAAGACAGCTTTCGAATCAATCTGTACCTGGTTCACCGCACCCTGATTATCGAGCGTTGCGAGAAGACCGTCAGCAAGCTGATCGGCGGTTCGCAGAATTCTGGGTGGGGCAGGAATTTCGAGCGCACCCTCACTCGATACCCGCCTGGGCTAGAAGACAGCACGGCGCATCAACGGGCTCTTCGATACCAGCTGGGAGATCTCACGTGTGTCGTGCGTTTTGAGGTAGATGCGTGCTACGAGCGGAAGGTCGAGGAGGGCGGTACTTCACAATCGTTGGCACGCGCAATGAGTCGATTGCAGACCGATGATAGCCAAGGAAGAAATGCTTCTGCCAGCCAACAGCCGACACAACGAGTGCCGATGGCTCAAGCGAATGCCGCAGAAATCAAGACAGCAGCCAGGCGCAAGACCCCGGGGGCATACATGCCGCAGCTTTGGTTCGGCAGAACGCCCTGGCTTATCCTCGGACAGCACACAAATGGAACCTTTGAAAAGCCGAGAATCACCGACACGGCAGCTCAGTTTGCGAGTTGGGAGGAAACGCACCAACTCGACCTTCGCAAGTTGGCTGCGGTCTTGGCACAACTACGCGAGGCCGTCCGCGAGAACGGAGGCAAGGTTTGCATTGCGATCCATGAGAAAGCCACAGAGACGTCAAATATTAAAGTGTACCCTTCATGTGTTGCGAAAGAGGCTGTTCCGGAAAAATTGAAGGGCGAGCTCTGGAGTTGACAGGGAGCGGTGTGTAAGACAGCGGTTCACTTGCACCTTCAGGAATTTAAAGCCATCTACCTGCATTCTAGGAAGTGATGTTGAGCCTTGCCAGTAGTCGCCCAGAGACCCACGCTTGTATTCCGGCTGTGTGCGGGGGCGTTTCGTACCGTTAAGTTGTGCTGGGTTGCTCATGCTATGGGGGATGGCGGCATTCATGCCTCTCACCTGGCACGCCGAGAGCAATCAAACCAAAGGCCAAGTATTGAGCAACTGCCGTACGGAGGTCGGCATGCTTGAGGTAGGCTTCCACCTCTGCAGAAGGCTCCGCCAAATGAAAGGAAAGCGTCTCGGACTCGCGCCATTCAAGCCTCACGCACACGATCGCCTCACCCGTCGTCAATAGACCGTGCTCGAGCCAGTCTTCGATCATATATGACAGGTCTGTGTGTGATGGCGGCTGCGGTGAGCCTCTCCGCGTGATACCGGAACCGCGCGTCTGGGTCAACTGTTGTTGGTATTGTCTTCCGGTCTACCACCTCCTCAAGTGCATTCATCGAGCGCAGGTGCTGCGCAGGAAGTTGACGCGGTGATTTATACTCGGGAATGTAGAGCATCAAAGAGCTGCTCGAGTCGTCATCGTCTTCGACTCGGCAACCGCAGACCTGGCGGCCCGTGACTGTTGGAAATCGACTTTGCGATTGTGCCGTGTGGAGATAGGTGTCGATGGGAGGTTGCGTTCGACGACCTCCGCCGCTGCGTCGCTGAGCGCATGTGGGTGGTTCTCGAAGACGAGTCCGTTGACTAAATCGAACGCCTTTTGGACTTCTTTCACCTTCTTGAGCTCGTCCATGATTGCTTTAACAGGGCCCTCGACGCTATATTGCAGAAAGCACTCGAGGGCCTTCTCGTCAGTGATCTTGCGCTTCGCGATCCTGCTTCCTCGGCCGGACAGGAACGATATGCTCTCGGAACAGCGTCGGTCGGCAGGGAAGTGTAGTAGTGGGTGCCGAATGCGATGCTCTGTTGGTGCAAAGTCGAGCTACGGTCGGAGATTGGTGGGACACAACCTGTTCCGCGGATTTGTGACAGAGCCCTTAGAGGTCAGTCTACGGTCCGTTTCGACGGTGAGTCTGGCAGAAGCCAGGGAATGACAGGCAGGGATGTATTCGTTGAGTGAAGTAGGCTGGGTTTGCTGCTCTGTCGCCTCGGCGCGTTCTTGTTCTCTGTCAGCACGTTCTTCTGCAGAAGCTTGGCCAACTCCTCGGCATTTCTTGTCCGGCTCAAGATGTCTTTGATTGATGTGGTTGGTAAGGTGTGCATTCAGTCTTTCGAAGGGTGGACAGTAAGTACAGTGTTTAGGCCAGCCTGTAGCGCAGAACGGATCTTGCTGTGTCGCTGAGCAATCCCCAGCATCCTTGTCAGCGAGTAAGCCCCGTCGTCGATGGTGTCCTTTCCACGAACTAGACCACCCAAAAAGAGGCGTCGTTGCACCGTAACTCACGTGCGCTCTGTACATACATTGCGTGCAGAGAGAAAGCTGTTTACGCACGAGCCACATGCCTCGCTGGTCTCACGTACCCACATCATGGTCATTTTGCCGACTTTTATCCGTCAGCGCCTTTCTGTCATTGAGTGAATGTACCAGAGCAGGCGCTAGTACTACTGCAGGAGTACATCTACAGAGCGTGGGGAAAGAGAAAGGTGGTCAGTCTAGTCAGCTTCGATGTCAAGGGAGAAGACAATGGTGTGTACAAACAGAGGCTACTTCAAAGACTCAGAGCGCGGGGCATCCCTGAGAAGTTGGTGAGATGGGTTGACGCCTTCTGCTCCCATAGAACGGCAAGCATCCTGGTTAACGGTCGCTAGTCCGAGGCTCGTCCGCTACCGCAAGCCGGGCTACCTCAGGGCTCACCACTGTCACCTGTGCTCTTCCCTCTTCTTCAACGCCGACCTCGTACGGCACCAAATCGACGAGAACGGGGGCGCGCTCGCCTTCGTCAACGACTATACGGCGTGGGTCACCGGCCAATCGCGAGAAGAAAACCGTCAGGGCATCCAGAACATCATCGATCGAGCACTCGAATGGGAGCGGCGAAGCGGGGCGACGTTCGAGACAGACAAGACGACCATCATCCACTTCACGCACAACAGGAGGCTGCCGGCAGATTTGACCAACTTCGTCATCAAAGGGGACACTGTCCGAGCAAAGGACCACGTCAAAGTACTGGGGGTAAACAATGGACACGAAGCTTCGTTTCGAGAAGCACATTGCGGACGCAACGACAAAGGGGATAGAGGCCGTGCTGGGGCCCAGGCGGCTCAAAGGCCTGTCTCCGGCGACGGCTAGACAGCTTTTTGTGGCAGCTGTGGCGCCGACGATGGACTACGCGTCGAACGTCTGAAGATATAGGTGTCGAGCAGCGCAGATGAAGGTGATTGACCAAGTGCAGAGGATTGGCGCCCAAGCGATCGTGGGAACATTCAGCACAGTGGCCACGGCGGTTGCTGAAGCGGAGGCAAGCATACAATCGGCGCAAGAGAGATACGACAAAAAACCAACCACAATCTGGGTACGGACGCGAAGCCTTCTCAAGACCCATCAGTTTCGACGCCTGCGGGCGGAGGCCTTTAGACGGTTCCCATCGACCTTCCAGTTGATGGCGGAGGCCTACCGCGACCTGCCTCTTGACAAGCTAGAGACTATTGAAGGGTATTCGATCGCGCCATGGGAACGTCGTATTGATACAGTAGTCGACGACGACGCGATCAAGGCCTCTGAGGCAATCCGGTCTGGATGGGCAGTGAGGATTGCGACAGGGAGCTCAGCAAGGAACGGAGTTGTGGGCTTTGGAACGGCGACGACGCTTCCCGCATCCTTCAGAGGGGGCGGTGGCATCATGACGGCCTCGCGTACGTTCGGTCAGAGAACGGAGCAGAACCCGTATGTAGCAGAGCTAGCGGCACTGGCGGAAGCGGTCAAGTCTCTCCCCCAGAAATTCGAGTACCGGGCTATCCACGTGTTCACCCGCAACAAAGCGGCAGTGTTCGTGGTGCGCAATCCGCGGCAGCAGTCAGGCCAACGAGAGGTCCAACAGTTTTACTCCAGCATGCAAGCTCTGCGGAGACGAGGCAATAGGGTCACGCTCTTTTGGCTTCCATCATCGATAGAGTCAGACCTGGCGCAAGCGGCCAAAGCAGCAGCAAAAGACAGTACGCGACCGAACAAGACACCACAGAAACGACCGGCCAGAGCCTACTCGACGGCACTCAGGATCGCTTTACAGAGCGTGCGACAGAAGTACGGAGCTTTGCCCGACAACGTAGGAGCATATTCGAAGAAGATCGATGTGGCTTTACCAGGAAAGCACACACGTGAGCTATATGATGGACTGTCCTGGAAAGAAGCCAGTGTCCTGGCGCAACTGCGCACCGGCATGGCAAGACTGAATTAGTACCTGCACCAGATCGGCGCAACTGCCTCGGCGCATTGCGCCTGCGGGCAAGCGGCAGAAACGGTAGAGCACTTCCTCTTCCGCTGTACACAGTGGACTACACAGCGAACTCGGATGCTCCAACAGACGGAGTCGCATAGAGGGAATCTATCGTACTTTCTCGGAGGAAAGAGCGCGTCCGACCCCCAGGATTGGTCGCCAAACGTAGATGTTGTCAAGGAGACGATCAAGTTCGCCATGAGCACGGAGAGACTGGATGCACAGATCAGCCAGCAGCGAAACCACACACCACCTACCTCAACACATTAACCGACGACATCCCCCACGCACCCTCGTGCCATCGACAGTAGGACTAGCTTCGGCCGCCGAAGATAGGACGCCGAACACTTTGGGAGACACCTTAAGATGGCCTGTTACTAACCCCACGAGCAACCGCAGCATCGGCATGTAAAACTGAAGATGACACATGCGGAGACGGACAAGACTTGTACGGGCTTCTGGGAAGCAAGGATATGAACGAAGGCGGAGAATATGTAGATAATCATGCGAGCCCTGAATAGCTTAGCCGGGGCGTAATAAACTACGTATGTATGTATGCACTAATTCGGACAATGCAGTAGTTGTACAAATAGAATGGGCATCATTACAACTACGATCGTCCGCCGAATAGCTACAGCATCGTCGCACTCAACCACTACCCACGCCAGATTGACCTTTGGCGTCGCTTCGAGATATTCTTTCCGCATAGTCCAGTGGCGATCTCGTCACCGGAACCGGGTAGATCGTTTTCTTCCAAACCTTAGCCTTAGAGGTAGCCTTAAAGGGCAATGATGTGATTGAACTTACCAACTCAGCGCGAGATTTGGGGAAACTGTGCTCATTGGAAGACGTGTATTCATATAATCTGCTTTTGAAGCGGACTTGGACGTATGCGTCGGCCCCGTACCGTCGTCGTATCTGCTCACAACGCCACATGATGTTTTTGACCGTTTTATCGCAGTTCTCGTTGGTTCTATCCCTTTTCTTTGGCTGCTGCTGACGAGAAGCCATGATTTGTTGGGTACGGACTGTGACAGTACTGTATTGTTGACGTACCATAAAGTAAAAAATGAGTCTGATTCATCATCATCTTGTCGTTCTACTCTGCCCAATGCATCCCTTTTCAAGCAAGCATACCGCACGAACGCGTTAGTAGGCACCAGGTGGCAGTGGAGCCGCATCTGAGTCTGTTCTGTGATTGCTAGTTTCCTAAAATTCGTCGCAGCTTTTTTTGTGAGGGCAGCCAAAATCGGCTTTTGATGCATCTGCTAGCGGGAAGAACGTGGAGTCACCACTTACGGATGTTAGCACGTAGGGTTGGACGCGAGTAGCCCGAATGACGGGATCCGACAGCTATCCGAGAGGTAGAACAGGAAGCCAGAACCGTTGGTTTAGGACCAATTGCATGTGCCAGACAGTTATACGCACTTTGTTGCTGAACGGACAGAGCGTAGACAAAAGAGTCCACTTGAAGCAGCACAATCATGAGCTTTTCGTCTCTGACCATACGACGCGAGGAAGCTTGCCATCATTTGGAGGCGAGAGCGACTTTGATTGGAGCCGTCGACGAAAGCGGAAGAGGCATAACTCGGACTTTTTGTCGTCTGATGTGAGTTACACGGCTGCTGACATTGCTAACCAAGCTCATATATCCGCACTCATGGTGTTTGCGCCGGCCGTTTCGAAAAGGAAGAACTTATCTAAGCAGCATATGTACATATGTGCTGTATTGTATAATTCAAAGATATAATCAAACAATGCAACGCATGGCGACAGCCCGAGACTAGCAAAGATGAGCGGAAGGCACAAAAGATGACGCATAAGCTCGTGCTGGCACACATACAAATCGACTAGCCAGAAAATCTAATACTGTATCATTTATATGTCCACCACGGATCGTACGGATAGATTCTAAATCGGTGTGTATGTGATGCATCATGAGCCTGGCGAACCAGACTATGAGCCTTCGAGAAGCCAGACAGGATTCAACGATTATAAACATCTTCCCTCATCACCACAGTCGTGCGTGAAGTTGCTAATGTCAGAATTCACATGTCGACGAGTCTGCGATCCTCACGAGAAGTTTCCATTCTCATATACGGGCCCATAGAACAGCCTTCCGCCAACCACTTGATTTTGTCTTACTCTTCATGGCGCGTCTCGATGCGTGTCTATCATAAGGAGATCTGGCGATACAACTACAGCAACCACGATA